CTCACAACCTGGATCGATGTCAGCGACAATACAACGGCGCGCCGCATGCAATGCATACCATGGCATGCGTTGCATACATAGACATGGCCAAAGACCCGTCTTTCCTGAGGCCGAGCCGGAGCGTGCGGAAAGTGGATTGCGAGCGTCAGTCTGGCCCTGACGGGGTTCCTTCAATGGCAGAGTGGGAAATCACGCAACTTCAGAAGTTGAAAGGGATGTACGTTGAATGTAGCAAGCATAAGGGCGATGCAGGGACTCTTGCGAGTTTGGGGGCGCGAGCACATGCTGGTTGCAGCAAGGGTATAGCTGCTTCAGGTGGTTTAGGGTTTCTTCGGTTTCATGCTAGCCTTAGATTAGACCCTTGTTTTTTCCCGCTTTCTTGGCCCCAAGAAAAATGTCCTCCCTCCCTTACACTGAGCGTCTTGTTGCAGCCCTTGCACCCTAAAGTGCTTCCAGGGTGCAAAGCCATCGTTGCCTTTGCTTCGCCGAGCCTGCGCCTCGAGACGTCGCGATGTTCTCTTTTTCCCTCGAAAGAAGAGCTTCTTCTCATGGGTTCCCTTACAACCCTGAATTAGGCTTAATTACCCGTGAGTAGCCACAATTATTGGGGGGAGGTTAGGGGGCGAGCATAAAGGGGGGTAGGAGGAGGAACCCGTGATCTTCGCGAGAGAAAGCGTGTCCTTTCCTTGGAAAAAAGGTCCTTCCACGAGCTTTTCCCCGCCGGCCCCGGCTGCGCCCGGAGGCCGGAGAGCGCTGCACTTCAACAAAGCGATTTGCGGTGTCTGCAGATTTTGACTTGGGATGTTCCCTCCTCATACTAGCAGCCCCTAATGGGGAGTAGAGTACCTCCTATTATAACCCCTCTGAGGGACTGTAAGTATAAGGGGGAACATCCCTAAATTACGAGCGAGCACACGCGCGAGGCCGGAACACATCACCTTCAAAGCTGCACTGTGCCGGCCTTGGCAAGTCAATGAAGGGATGAGTGCATGGCAACGACACAACCGGAGCTTGAGGATGTGGAGCTGGGAGCCTTGGAGGAAGGGCGCTTTCCCGTAGTAGTCAGGACCCCAGTGCCGAAAGGCCTTTCATTTCTTTCGCGTACCAGCGCCTCTGAAGCAACGAGGCCAAACCACAGCACTTGCAAAGCTGCAGCACTGTGTCGCCCTTAGTTGACGAATGGCTGGACATGTTCACAGATTGTGCAATGTGTTCGCAATGACGTGGAGCTTGAGGACGTGGCCCTCGCAACGATGGAGGAAGGGCTCTTGCCCGCAGTCAGGACCTCAACAAAGGCTCAGTGGCATGCGCCCCCCGGCTTCCAGTAAGGGCAAGACTGCGGCTTGAGATGTATTTGCTGAAAGCTTTGTGTCGTGCTAGCACAAGATGCTTCCGACACGACACAGAGTTAGGGGAGTGAATGAGTGAGTGAGTGAGTGAGTGAGTGAACAGACTGGGGTGTACTCCGGCCAACGGAAACGTTCCCTCCCGCCATCTCTTCCCCGCCTGCGTCATTGGGGAGATCCGGCAAGAGTTCGACGCTCCGAGTTCCTCAATCCGAGCTGGGAAAAATGCCACCCGCCTCCATGGGTCCGCCCCTTTCTGGCTGCACAAACTCCAACAGTATCCCCTTGGGCTGCAAACTGAAGGCACCGCCCCCGACCAGAAGGGGGGGAGCATGTGGGTGGTAACGAAGGAGCGCGTGGACCGGCTGTCATTGGAACTGCAAAGCTGCGCCCTAAACCCTAAACCTTAAACCTTAAACCCTAAACCCTAAACCCTAAACCCTAAACCCTAAACCCTCAACCCTCAACCCTAAACCCTAAACCCTTCAAGGTGCAGCGGCCCCAAGAGTTGACGTGGCCGCGAGGTGTGCCAGCCTCGGGGGAGGCGCGGTCTTGTCCATAGCAGTGCGTCCTGGGACCGCAGTATATCCTAGGTAGGATAAGGGTTTAGGGTTTAGGGTTTAGGGTTTAGGGTTTAGGGTTTAGGGTTAGGGTTTAGGGTTTAGGGTTTAGGGTTTAGGGTTTAGGGTTTAGGGTTTCCTTACAAGGGAACCCTTCTGAGCCCGGTTCTGGCTCTCTTCAACAGGGGCCTTATTCAGAGGGTCTATAGCCCCAAAAGTCCCCCTAATCCTATCCCCTAATTTTCCCCGAGAATTGGCATCCGTGTCTCTTGACTTGGTCAGACCCTCCCCATGGAATATGAAGTCTTTTAGGATTATCTTCTGTTCATTTTCTAGTATGTTTCAGCTTTCGGTCTGCCCTAAAACCTCAACCCTGAACCCTAAAATACCAAAACCCTGTCCCCTAAACCCTGATGAAGCACCAAACCCCAAATTTATGAAAACTACAGCAAACAGAGGGCTACGGTGCAGCCAGCAGCAGCAACAAAAAGAATCCCAAGCACAACAACAATTCTCAAACATATCTGGACCCCTTATGAAAGCTTTCGGCCGAAGGAACCAACATTCTTGTTGCCTGGCTGCCCGGGACAGGACGTGCTGCTTATCCCAACGGACATCGGCGAGCGGCAGGTGCCAGAAATAGCAAGAAGCGTGTGCGACACGAAGTTTTGGGAGACTTTCTGGAACTCGATTTTCCTCTTGACTTCGAAGTTCTGCAGGACGAGTGGGTGCCCGATTCGGGGGATCCACAGCTTCCGCCGCCTGATGTGGCGGAGACGCCGAAGCCTGAGGAGGAGACTCCGCCGGAGCCCCCGAAGCTCTTGATGGAGGCCAAGGACGGAGTGGCATCAAAACCTTTGGGTTCATGAGCAAGCATACAGTTGCATCATGTTCCCCTTTTTCGTTTGTTGCTAAATGTCGCACCCTGTTTTGTTGCTTCCCTCACCCTCCCCTCCCTGAGCAGTCGAAGCTGTCTTTGACAGTCTGTATTCGGGCCCCCGGAGTTTTGTGTGATTTTATGCGGATAAAGTAAGAAAGAAGAACAGCCTGACGGGTTGAGGGCTTAGGGACCCCCCCCCCCCCCCACCTTACGAGGATTGCGCTCCAACATTTACGCCAGAAAGATGGCAGGCCTTGAACATCCGATGTTAGGAGCCAAACTCGTCTTTCTCGAGGGGGCCAAGGCTAAATCGGGAGTAGCATGAATGTCTCGTTGCGGGCAGCTTTTTATGCAGCAGGACTGGAAGCCATTGTGGGTCTTTGTCCGGGACTACGAGACAGAGTACCACTGGGCAAACCGAACAGGCGCCCCCCCCCCCCCCCGTTTGCATACCTAAGGATAGAAAGAAAAGGATCCTCCTGTTCTAAGAAACTAGCAACTGTGAACATGGCTTAGTGAGTTTTCCATGCTGCTGTGTTGCAGGCCGCATTGGCAACACGCCGTGCAATGGCAGCTTCATTTGAACCCCACAGGGGCGTGTTTCACTCTTACCTCGAGTTCGACAGCGCTGTCGGCAGCTCTTTCACAGGCCCGTCTTCCTTGCCAGCCAGCCCCACACAGCTACTTGCGTCCTCACCATGAGCACAAGGCCAAAATTTGGGCCTTGCCAGTGTGCGACTCAGAAGGCAGCACCGCGCATGTGCAGCAGCTCTTGGAAGGGCCCTTAAGCCCAAGACGTACAAGCCTCTTCGACGCCTGGTGGAGTTGTGAGCCAAGAAGCCAGCACAAAGGCCCCCTATCGCGGACCTCTCGTGCAGGCTGGAAAACTAGTACACGGGCAACCTCATGGGCGGCTTTCGATGGGAAGGGGGAGCCAAAGTGAAGGCCTATACCTTCGAAGTTGTTTGCAGCCTCTTCTCATTGCACCTGGTCACTCTGCTTCAGATGGAGTCAGCAGTGCAGTGGGGAGTGCCCCGTGCTCAAGTGGCCGTCCTTCTGGCCCACGCCAACTGGTGCATCATTTCACCATCCTGCTGTCGATGCTCTTTGCAATCTGCTGCTTCTTGGAGTCGGTACCTCCATGTGTAGAAGCAGCCTTGGCACCTGCCTCGGTCTTGCTGGTGGCCGTGGGACTTAATGCATTCTGCAGCCGCAAGGCGGAAAATGTGAAAGCGCGAGCCCGTGGAAGCCCGTGGTCTGGGGTTTGAAGGTACTCCGTGCTCACCTTGAAGATGCCCTTGTAGCAAGGAAACGCGTGGCTCTGTGAGTCCTCACCCGCCAAAACCCTGAAGCCTTAAACATCCTTAAACCATTAAAGCCTTCAACTATAAAGCCTTAAGCGATGATGCGGTTCGAGGCGTACTTTGCAGCCCACGCGTCTGTTCTGCTTTCTGGTCGAAGCCATTGACCCGGCAGCATGTCGTGTTCTCCGTTGTTCTCCTTCTGTTTTCTGACGGGGGCGCGCTTTCTTTTCTTTTTTGCCGTGCTGGTCACCACCTGCAAAAAGCACAAGCGCATCACACTGGCAGGAGTTTTACACTGAGACGACCGACCAAGCACGAGAGAGCGCCGCTTCACGGGGCCTGTGGCTCCGGCAAAGCTTTGCCCCACTGAATGGCTTCTGATGCATTCCTCACTACAAGACCGTCAACCCAGCACTCCTGCAGATGAGGCCCAACAAAACTTGAAGCGTTAAACCCCTCAGTCAACTACAGGCTCGATAAACCTAAGCCCTCAAAACCGTTACTTGCGTATGTGAACTCCCCGGGGAAGCAGAAGGAGCCCCAATCGTACCGAAAGAGATCCGTGCTGTCCCGGCGCAGCCCGGGGCCGTTGCCGAAGCCGAAACGCGGGCCAGCTGGAGCTGCAATATGAGGCAGAAGCTCGCTTCAGTGGTTGTAGCGCCGCGTGGGTTTTTAGCGCGTGCCAAGTTCCTCGGGAGCCATTTTCCCGCTGCTGCGGTTGCTTCGGAGGCCTCTGTTGGGCATGGCGACAGCGTGAGAATGAAGCATTCATGTCTTGAACATCTTGATGGGTTTTGATAAGTTTTTGTCTTGGTTCCGTGATGTGATGCCCGGCTTCCTCGGTTCAGTGAAGGGGCTCAAGTGCATTGTTGTGTTCTTTTTGCCCTCCTTCGCACATTCGCTCGCCGCAATGAAGACAGCCGCGCTCGTGCTCTCGATGTGCCTTATGGGGTCCGCGATGCAGCTTGTCAGTCGGTTGCACTAAGCACCTGCCAGAGATCGAGCTGTGCTTTCCAGATGCCCACGCAACGCGGGACTCAGGCCCAAAACCCAACCCAGTCGTATCGAACCAAGTGCTGCACACCTACGCCCCACGATGAGAGGCCGGCTCAAAACTGGGCGGGGGGAGGGGGGGAAGGGTAGGGCGATTCAGCCGCCAAGGACACCTTGGAGTCTCCGAAGTCGACCCACAAGCTGCCTTCGAACAGCAGCCTCCCCGGCGCAGCCAGCGGGATGGAGGCGCCCCGCAGCCCCAGAAACGCGCCGAAAGCTCGCCTTCCAAGCCTCCTAAACCTGCAAAGCCCCTGTAAAACCCCTAAAAAAGCCCTACAAGCCCTCTACTGTAAGTCCTCAAAAAGCCCTCAAAGCCCTCGAACCTCCCCCAAACCACCCCCCAAAAAACCAAAGATCTGATCAGGAGCTGCTCGTGGCAGCCATGCGCTCCAAGGACTCCCCGGCCCTGAAGGAGCTGGTGAAGAAGGCGTCGTTGCGGCTCGTGGCTTCGGGGGGCCTATGTACTCAGAGTGAGCATGCTATGGCTTTGGGGTAGCTTGGGTAGCTTATGTGCTGCTTATAGGGGCTCGGCCGGGGGGGGGGATTGTTGGCAATATTTTCGTGTGGGGGCTTTAAGGAGTTTTGGGGGGTTGTCAAGAGGGCCCCTAAACCCTAAACCGGAAACCTAAACCAAAACCTAAGCTTAAAGCAATTCGCAAGTAAAGGTTTCAAGTGCTTGAAAGGCACGTTGAAGCGTTGAAGGCGCAGACTCAGGGTTTGCCAGGCCCTTGTCATTTGATCCGTGTTTTTGTGTGCCGTTAAGGGAGCCGTCGTAGCCCCTGTGACTGCGTTGTCCGTGGGGTGAATCCAGCACCCCAAAAACCCCTAAAACCTTGAGTCTCCAGAACTGTGGACGCCTTGGCAGGTCGCTGAGATGATCGCAACCATGAAGGCCCCGATGAAGCAGAGTGTGGGCGGAATCCAGGCGCTGCCAAAAGGGGGTTGGGTTAACGGTTCTTGGGCAGGGTTTCGAGTGTTTCAGGCTCAGGGCTCAGGCTTTAGGGCTGAGGATTTAGGTTTCAGGTTCAGGGTTTGGGCCCCCTGCTGATATGTTTCACAGGTGCAAAATCGCAATCGCACTCACAGCCATCATCCTTCTTGCAACAGGAAACAGATGACACCCCTCCAATTCTGACTTACGACCCTTGCGGCGGCCCATGCGCAAGCGAACGCCGTTTCCGGCCACTTTGAGTCCCCAAGAGCCACGCCCTCAAAGCTACACACTCCCCCTGAGCATCCTAAGCCTTGTGCCCCTAGGGGCCAGAAAGCTTCTGAGCCCTAGAACCTGACCTTGGAACCCTGAACGCCGAGACGACGATGGATGAGTCCGCGAAGAATGTCGAGAAGTGTGGGGTGAACAAGCAACTGGGCGGAGGTTCTTGAAGGTGTGTGCAGAGAGCAGGGCTGGGAGTTTAGGGTTTAGGGTTCAGGGTTTAGGGTTTTGACTTGAAGTTTGGAGGTCTGGGTTTTGCCGAGTTGAGCTTGGCATAATGGGCCTCCAATTTTCGGGCTTTTGCGCTTTTTTTGCCGACATCTTGGCAGTTGTTGTTTCTCACAGCCCTTCTGTCCCTTTGGTGCTGGACTTCGCATTCCTCACGGACCTCCCCAGCTTAACCCTAAGAGAAAGACCACGGTGGCCCGAAACCCCAACAAAGCAACTTAACCTTAACCCTAAACCCTAAACCCTAAACCCTAAACCCTAAACCCTAAACCCTAAACCCTAAACCCTAAACCCTAAACCCTAAACCCTAAACCCTAAACCCTAAACCCAAAACCAGCCGAGGCACACGGAGAACGCCAAGCAGTTCAAGTCAGACTTCACGGCGAAGAGTGAGCTGCACTCGCAGTGCCGGGCCTCTGAGCAGGCCTTCTGAGCATTCGGGTTTAGGGTTTAGGGTTTAGGGTTAGGTTGTTTTTGTTCTAAGTTCGGGTTCATGGTTCACTACTTTCGTTCGCTCGTGATTTTCACTCATGTAGCATTCTTATCTTCGCACTTGGGTCGAGAGCGAACGTGTCTCAGAGTAGTACCGCGTCCAGGATGATGCGGTTGATCTGTGGTGGATTCCTCACACCCTTCTCCTTTACGCTGTTTTATAATTACGAACAGCGCGTGTTCCCTGCGTATGAAGAGCCTTTACATGCTAAAGGAATAGCAGCGAATCTATGAAAGGCTACAACTGCCTTTGGAGGAGTTGGGTCTCAAGGTGCGATGGTTGCTGCGGGTGGGCTGGTCTCTAGCCCACAAACAGGAGCTAGAGCTAGCTAGTGCAGTGCTACAACTGGGGGTCATTCCGGGAGATGGGAGAGAGGAATGATGCACTCGAATGAAGGTGTGACAGGGAGATTGCTGTTCGACAGGCGGCTACAGCTTCTATCAACGGCCTGTTCATGAGTTGTATTCTTGGGGTTCATACCCTAAATGACCCTAAACCTTAAAACCCTACACACCCTGAAACCCAAACCTTGAAACCCTAAACCCTAAACCCTAAACCCTAAACCCTAAACCCTAAACCCTAAACCCTAAACCCTAAACCCTAAACCCTAAACCCTAGACCCAAGAGAAGGCTTAAGGTACCTTCAGAAGGCGCGTTTCCGGCACAGGCCAAGCTGACGAAGAAGACCTCCTGCGATTCGGAGCTCGCCTCTGTCACGGATCTGAAGGCCCAGGGCTGGGGTTTAGGGTTTAGGGTTTAGGGTTTAGGGTTTAGGGTTTAGGGTTTAGGGTTTAGGGTTTAGGGTTTAGGGCTTAGGGTTTAGGGTTTAGGGTTTAGGGTTTAGGGTTTAGGGTTTAGGGGTTGCTTAGGTTTGGGGTTGTTTAGGTTTAGGGCTCAGAGGGCTTTTATTCAAGGCCATGGCTGGAGTGGGTTTGGGGTGGTCTGGGTCTAGGGTGTTAGGGGGTTGTAGGGGTTTAGAGGATGAGGTTTAGGGTTTTGTAGGTTTTTGGGGTGGTTTTAAAGGGTTTGGGGTTTAGTTGAACCGAACATCCTAAATGAGCGAGGACACTGCGTGCAATGCCTTGGCAGCGCTGGAGAAGACGATGCACCTGGGCTGTTCTGTAGCGCGAAGCCCTGAACCCTACAGTCTTCAAACTCCGTCAAGACCTAAAGCCCTAAAGCCCTAAAACCCTAAAGCCCTAAAACCCTAAAGCCCTAAAACCCTAAAGGCCTAAAGCGTTAAACCCAAAACCCTGAAACCTTAACTCCCTGAGCCCATGAGGTTCGATTACAAGGATCAATGCGGCGCAAAGACGGGGGAGACCTTCAAGGCCTACCACACCCGCCTGGCCGAGGCCGTGTCGGGAGCAGTGGCCCAGAGTTTCTGTTTTAGGGTTCAGAGTCTAGAGTGTTGTTTTAGGGTGTTAGGGTGTTGCGGTTGGGGGATTTTAGAGCGTTCTGGGGTGCAGCATTTGGGGGCTCAAGGGCAAGATTCGCCACTAAATCGGCAGCAGTGTATCGATGAGCAGACAAAACAAAGCCGAAGCCATGTTGGCCTTGCGCGGCCAATACCAGTCTTCCCGAAAGGAGGCTGAATGAGGAGATAGTCACGAAATCGTACACGAGTTGGCAGAGGAACTGGAAGCATGCTAGCCGCGGGTCCAGAGAGGCGTTCAGGCACCAAGCACTCGGCTAATTTTGCGCCGGGTCGGTCGCCCGCAGCCCTTGCACCGAGGCAAAACCCCTACTTGTCACCTCTGCTTTGAAGTCGCCCCCTAAGCGAGGCAATCAGCAGAAGCTGGCCATAGACCCAAAATAGGCACCGCGAGAGAGACCCGAGCAAGATCTTGGGAGTGGCTTCAGTGAATAGTTCCAATGACCTTTAGGAGCTTCGGGTTCAGGGTTTTGGGTTTAGGGTCAGACCTTTCGGGTTATAGGGGGGATTCGGTCAGGGAGGGGCTAAGCCTCACCAGTACCCGACAAGCCAAACGTGAGGACCGCTGCCAGGCTCTACTGAGTGGTCACAAGTTTGAGGGCGGCTTCGGGTCTAGGGCTTTGGGGGGTCTGAAGCTCCAGCAGGCTTGAGGGCCTTGAGGGACTCAACCTTAAGCCCCTGAATCCCAAGCTCTTCGTTTCAAAGCTCGGTTTAGGGTTTAGAGTTCAGGGTTTAGGGTTTAGGGTTCAGGGTTTAGGGTTTAGGGTTTCCCGGAAAATTGCTGGGCTGGAAGGCGTCAAACACCCTCATCGCCAAGTGGGACAAGCTGAGCACGGAGTGCGCTGACGCCAAGCAGCTTGCCGATGCTTAGTTCAGGGCGACCCTCAAGCCCAACCCTAAACCCTAAACCCTAAACCCTAAACCCTAAACCCTAAACCCTAAACCCTGAACCCTAAACCCTAAACCCTAAACCCTTAGCCCAAAACCCCTAAACCCTAAACCCTTAGCCCAACACCCCCGAAACTCACAAATGCTTGGAGCTCCGGGCCTTGGTTGGGTTCGGCTTGAGTCTGGCCGCCATTTAGCAGGACGCTGAAGGCAGCTTTATGGGATCCAAGGAAGAAGTTCGACGAGAAGACCACCAGCTGCAAATCCTCCGCCGCAGCCCACGTGAGCCAGAAGGAGCACGGGGAGGGGTGGCAGCAGTGTCGGGCCTTTACATATCCTAAGCCCAGCACCTTGCCCGAGATGTAGCCTAGTGACGAGTGCGTCACACATGCACTACTGGGCAACCAGGCGCAAATGTTTACAAACCGGAGCTCTGCGTTGTCGTATGTCGACTGCCACTATGCCTTCAGACACGAGCAGTTCACTCTTTCTGTTATGTGTGCAGACTGAGTCCAGGTGAGACCAAGGATTCAGGATCCTTTTGCTGAAACAGGAACGCTGAGCCAGCGATTCCTTAAGGCTTAGGCTTAAGACAAGCTGGTTGGAAGAGGTTTCTACTGGTTTGCGCTGTGAGCACTCGGGTTGCAGGCTGAACGCCCCCTCGATTGAGGTGGCGCGGTACATGCGTTTACTCAGTGCTTCCCGAACTGCTCCAGCCCAAGCGTCGCAGAGCAGCTGCAGCCCAATCTGCCCCCCCCAAAAAAAGGCAGCCTTCCCGTTGCAGGAGCACTGCGACAGCGTTCAGGATTCCATGGATGGCTACTCCTGCTCCTACGCGCAAGCGGAAACTTCCAGGTGCCCTCTTGAGAGCCCTTGAACCATGGCATTGAAGGCCCAAAGTGTCCCCAAAAAGCAGGCCGGCCCCACCGAGCCCTACAAAATTCTGAAAAATGCAGAGTAATCCTGGGCCCTGAAGCCGCTTCAACCCTTGCCAAAGGTGCGAGACCATGGAGGAGTGCTTCAAGCAGGCCGCTTCGACCCACTCCAACCTCATGGCCACGCAGAACGCCGAGCTCGAGGCCCTTCGCAAGGTGCGGCCTCTTCTCGGGGTTCAGGCCCTAAACCCTAAACCCAAACCCTAAACCCTAAACCCTAAACCCTAAACCCTAAACCCTAAACCCTAAACCCTAAACCCTAAACCCTAAACCCTAAACCCTAAACCCTAAACCCTAAACCCTAAACCCTAAACCCTAAACCCTAAACCCCATATGTCTCATGGGGGCACCGGGCCGAAGAGCCGAAGGAACCCCCGCCCGCAGGAAACACGTAGTCCCTTGCAGAATAATGGAGGACTTACAGGGCTTAAGGACGTCAAAGCGGGGCTTCAGGGTTGCACAAGGGCTCTGAGCAGGGTCTTGGGATCCTCGCGCTTCAGGAGTGGCGGGCCCTGCTTCGCATGGAGTGCCTCATCACCACTTTCACGACGGCAGAGTCGGGCCGTGCTGCGGCCATTGACAATTGCCAGTGCCTAGTTCTTGGTTAGAGTTGCGCGATTTTGTGTGTTCACGACTTCTATACAACTTCTGTACAAGTTGTCGGGATGTCTAAACCAGGGTACCCGCGACCACAGGACCATGGATGTCGTGGGGCAGGCCTCCACGGATCTCTCCGTCGTGGAGCCCACAACTCCCGCGATGCCCACCTGCGACTTGGCAAAAAAGTTTCCGTGCGCAGAGCGCCTGCCTGCACAGCCGTAGTCATCTGAAGCCTTCTTGGGACAAGTAAGGTGCTGCTCCAACGGACACCGTGGGGTCCCAGGCCTACCGCACGGCGCAGTATGGCAGCTTGCCCTCCGAGGCCCCGGCGAAGGAGTGCGTGGCCAGCTGCTGCAAAGCCACGGGCGGCTTCTCGGGTTTGGACTTCTCGGGCCTGTCCTCGCCCCTTGGCAGCTGGTTCTTGGCACTGAACATCGACACCGGAGATGGCAACGTGGTGGCCTACGGCAACAGTGACTTCTGGCAGTCCTCCTCGGCCCATGGAGGTGCGAGCGTTGATGAGAACGAGCGCTTCACGCGAGACTACAAGAACCTGGAGGTCTTCAGCCAGACGGCGGCCAAGGAGGTGCTGATCGTCTGCCACGAGGAGGGCAAGGTGCTCGGCTGGCGAACATGGAAGCTGCTTGAGACCAAGCCTCTCAGGGACTGGTTCAATCAAGCCAACGCTTGTCCCGGGAATCTGGCGCAAGGGTCGAGTGTGCAGATCTCTTCTCAGACAACTGGCGCGGACGTGGGGAACCTCATCGAGTGGGAGCCTTTGATCGCGAACAAGCACGACGGAACCGGTGCGCTCTACGTCAACTCAGGCTTCAGTGGCAACGACTTCAACCGCATCTCCACTACCAACAACGGGCCAGGGAACAAGGGATCTGGCCTGGGAACCCAGTATGACTACAACAATTGCGACTTGATCTCTCATCGGCCCACCGCGGATGCCGAGATGCGCACGGAGAAAGACCACTGGGGCTCCAGCGGCGGCGTCGGCGGCCTCATCGGCTCGGACCACAAGTGCAACGGTGGCTGCCCCTGGACCATCTCTTCCGGGTACGACTACGACTACGCCATCTTCGTGATGTAGGGGCACTTGCGAAAAGACATTGCTTTTGGGCGGTGCGACAAAATCGAAGCTGCGCCGCAGTGTTCCTGACTCATTCTGCTCTCTGCGATGTATGAAGTAGCTCGGCCAGATCCTCATCACACATAGCTTGCAACCTAGCTAGCAGCTCCTGATGGCTTTCCCTAAATCAACCCAAATTAAACTATAAACCCTCAACCCCCAAACTCAAAGGCGGTGATTCGGCAATGCCACCCAGATGTCCAATTGTTTACCATCTTGAGCCTCTGTATCACTTGCCTCCGATTGCATGATTTGGCAGAGACAGCGTGCGCGGCCGGGTTCTAGGGCCGATTCATCCCTGCTATCTGCACTCCATGCCTCAGACGTTGTATCTTGAACTGTCCATATGAAGCCGCAATGCCCAGATACGTCATCTTCTCCATTTTAGGCATCCTCCCCGAAAGTCCCAATACATTTAGCAGATTTGTCAGCATGAACCTGCACATCCAATTGGCTTTGGCAGCCCGCACACAGACCCTTGCAGAAATTCGAGCTGTTAAAAGCAAACAACAAGCTGCAAAGCACAATGGAACCATTGAGCATCCCGGCTCTGTCTCTTTCATCTTGGCATGACCTTTGCAGGATCAAGACTCAGGTCTATACTAAATCGGGCCCCGACGTGTACTCGCAGCTCTGTACCAGGCATATTTGATTATGTCTGCCACAGTCTCTCATCATGTCTCCCCTCTCGCCTTGAAGCGATGCAGGCTGTACTTGAATTGCTGCCACCATTCCACTCCCACAGTTTGCCACGGGCATTCCCCCTCTTGTGCTTATAGTGCTATCTTGCCACCCTGCTTGGTAGATCTTGGTAGGGCGTGCTCGCCGCGACAGGGCTTGGCTGAATCGCTCTTGCAGCCGCGCCTGGTGACCACAAAGCCAGTCTAAACGTCCTCGAGTCTTTCCAGAGGCAGAAGTTACGATCAGTCACGTGTGTTCGTTTCCGGTGCTTCGTTTGCTGGTCATCGCCGCTAGCGTCACGAAAATATCAACGTATAGTAGAACCGCGCCGCAACACTAGAGGATTTGAAAGCACGCATCCCTGAAAGCATCGAAAACACTGCAGCTACGGTGGACTCACCGTTTTGCCAACATCATCAGCCGGGGCATGCGTTGCAGCCACGAAACGTTGCGTTAAAAGGCCCACACCTCGGCTAGCCCCGAAAATTTTCTCGCACGAAAGATCCCGAGGTGCGGTCACCAAGGGCGCGGACGGCCGCTGGTGTCGGCAGCCTGTCCTTCGCCGGCCCAGCTACCGTCTCGCCCTCCCGAAAGTTGAGCCTACTTCCTGTTGGCACGCGACGGACAGAGCTCCACCGCCGGTGCGCCCCGGCGACAGGCCCGCACGCGGACAAGGCGCACCACAAGCGCGGCTCCGGCGGCGTCAACAGGCGCGGCTTGGCTTGCGCAGCAGTAGCTGTCCAACGAAGGACCGCTGCGTGAACACGCACGCAGCGAAGAGAAGGCATGGCATGGCCCGTGGGCCCGTGGGCATACGAAGGTCGCCGCCCTCTTTGGCTCCGGCGGCCCGCATTTTGCTATATCTTGCCCAGAAAAAATGCTCCCGGCCATGGCGCCCGACGCGCGAGCCCTCTTTCGCCGCAGTCTGGGCAACATGGCATGTGGCTCGCCGCTATACCGGCTGATGCAGCTGCGACCCTGCCCCTCAGGCGACGCCTCCGCCTGCCGCTACCATTATGCTGCCATTGACCGCCCTGCATTGCGGCGGCGACGGAGCTCCCGGCTGCCAAAGACAGGCCGACGCGTTAGGTGACCACTTCGTCGCCTGCCCGCGCACTGGCTTGCCGCGTCGCGGCTTTGTCCTCGAGCGCGTGGGTGCAAGTCGCGCGCGAGGTGGTCGGAGCAGAGGGCCGAGTAATGGCACAGCAATGGCTGGCCCGGACTACGGCACCTCGCGTTGCGCCTGCGGATCGCCGCCTGGACTTGGTGGTTTGCGGGGCCCGCCGGGCAGTGAGGCAGTCTGTTGTGACGCGACACTAATCTCGCCCCTGACGCGAGCGGGTCGCCCGGATGCCGATGTGATGAGACCGCGTTGGCGGCCGCGCGCCGCCGCAAGCACGCGCGATATCCCGAGCTCCTGCGGGGAGGTTTCGCAACGGCTCGTTGTGCTCGCGGCGGAGGTGGGCGGAAGATGGGGCGAGGAGTGCCAGCTCTTCGTCCGCCAGCTGCTGCGCCTCCGCGTTCAGAGGGCGCCTGCAACCCTACGTGCCACAGCGGCATACAGCGGCCCAGGGGTGGGCACGACGATGGCGGGGCCTGATCTCGGTCGCCGTTCAAAGGGCAGTTGCCAGCACAACCCTCGGTGTTTGGACGATGCCGGCGGCCGAGTTCGCAGGACGGGATACTCTTGGCTGATGTCCTTGAGCTCGCCGACTTTGCAGGGCCCAGCCCGCCTGCCGCTTCGGTGAGCGCCCTGGATGACGACCGCTGCGGGGGAGAAAAAAAAGTCGCGTTACGTCGTGTGCGCAATGCCGTGAGTGAGCATTCCAATATGTGTATAGAAACCTGCTGCAAAGGATCGATTCTTTGGAGTGCTATGCTCCTGCACTCGCGCACGACCATGTGGGATCATGTGGGTATGTGGGAGCAGTTGCCGCTTGAGCCTCGTGGGTGGAGCTTTGCTGGACACCGGATGAATGCCATGCGTTCATTCAATGACCCACGCCAAAACAGGCCGCTCGAGGTTGCTGGGTCTCGTACACAATGCGTTCTATATGTTAGGTTTTAGACATTGTCATGTTTGCTTACGTCATGTCGGAAGTGTTGGTTTGATATGTTTGATTCATGTCGCATTCCTTGATGTTCGTGTTTGATCATGTACATATGGTTTCACTTTCAATTCTGATCGTGACACACGATCGTTCAAGGAAAATCGTGATCTTGAGTTGTTTTATTGCGCCATGTGTGTTGCTATTGTTGTTCTTTTCGTACTTGCAAGTTGTTATCATGATCATGCCGTATGCGTTTTCACTTGTGACTGTGTCTCACGGTCGTTCAAGGATATCTTTCTCAGCCAGTGCGTGTGAGACAAGGTTGGGCAACCCCCATCGGCCACCCGCAGTACCTGGCGAACATCGCATGAGCACGGAATGGGAGCTCCTGCGCGAGTTGCCCCATCTCAGATCTGCAGTGCTCCTACTGGGGCTGTGTGCCTCGCCGCGGGCCAACCACGCCCTGCGAACCGTCCGCCCACCACCTACGCGCGAGCTCATGACGCCGCCATCTGGACACTTTGCAGCACCCTGCACCGTTGTCAGGGTGGTTTTGGCAGCATCGCCGAAGTGGCGCGACAAGTGGCGACCCTGCCAGCGGCCCTCGGATTGGCTGCCCGCACGGCGCCATCCGCGTACTTGGCCGCCTGGGCGGATGCGTTAACCCCTCCTGCGCGAGCATTCCCCGCTCTTCGCGCAGCCTCGGCGTTCCAACGCACAACCTCGCAACCGAGCACGCCGAGCTGCGAGCTCGGGGTAGGTGGCTCGTTTGCGCCGCACGGCAAAGCGCCCACCGAACGTGGCCCCGTAGACGACGAGGTCCAAGCGCCGACGGTCCCCTTGGAGGTACGCCAGGCGCGGCGGGCCAGCCATTGTTGCGGCACCACTTGGCCATACGGGCCAACAGCCTCGCGTGCGATGCGCACCCACGCGCGCTCGACGACTTTGGCGCGGCGCGCGAGCAGGCCCGTGGGGCAAGCCAAGGCGTGGTCGCCGTGCTCATCAACGAGGCGGCCACACCCCGGCGTACGTGGACTGCCCGCCATCCCCACCGCAACGCTGCGCGGCCAGCGGAAGCGGCAGGCGAAGGCGTCGCCTCAGTGCGATCTGCATCATCTCGGGGGAGCGCGTCGTGTGGGGGTCGCTTGGGATGGCCGTGAGCCATGCGCCGGCGTGGGGCCAGCCTGTGAACGCGCGAGAGCACAAGGAAGGCAGCAACACGCGGTCGCGGAAGAAACGGTTCCGAGTACGCGACGCGCGAAACTGCCATCCATGCACCCGCCCGCCAGGCTCAGTGGCGTCGGGCTCGGGTCCCGGTGGTCGCGCCCCCCTAGCAACCCGCGGCCAGGTCGGCACATCGGCCCATCTTTCGTTGAGGAGTACCTGCCGACCAGCCTAGTGCCATCTTGGAGGGCCGCGACCGCCCATGCGACAAACCTGGGGCAGCCGGCCTCGAGGACGGCAAGTGAATCAGCCCACGCAACCCAATAAGCTGCGGGGGCTATGCGTGTTGCCTGAGTGAAGGCTTGCGGGCAACAGCGCGATGGCGCGTGCCGCGCGCTCCGCGTATCTCCGCGTCCTTAGCCGGCTCACCAAGACAAGCCTGCAGCGTGCCCCAAACCGCCGCATCGTGCGCCTCGGCATACGGCTTGATCAGCTCGGGCGGCACAGTTCGCAGGGCGTGGTTGGCGCGCGGCGAGGCGCAGTACGCAAGAAGCAGTGAGTGAGTGAGACCTGCAAGCCGGTAGGCAGCCCTTCTGGTACGCAAGCAGCAACCACGCGCATTGCAGGTCAGGCAGCAACGCAGGAGCTCGTCCTCCTTCGCCACGCGATCCCGCCCCCACGCCTCGATGAACTGGGGCGTCCGCATGGGGCAGCCCAACGCGACTATGCCGCGTTCAGGCAACGGCTTGTCCCCGCGCCACGGCGAGGTCGCGAACCCCAGGCGGCGCTGGTCCCCCGTTGCGCGCCGGAGCGCGCAGCTTGGAGGCCCCCCTTAGTTTCGCGCGTCCCGTATGGTTGGTTTGTGCCGCTGCCCGCAGAGGGTCCTTTTTGCTCCTGGGCTAGGGCTAGCACTACCACTGCCTTGCCGCTGGCGCCACTTTGAGGCTGCCGCGGCGACGGCGGACAAGTCGTCCTGGATCGTCGTTTGCCGCCGGCGCCTCCGAGGCCGCCGCGGCGCACACGTGAGGCCCCACGAGCGCCTCCTAGCGGCAGCCCAGGCTCACCAGCTTCCCGTGCCCTTCCTGTCGTGCCGCCGGCACCGCATGCACCTGGGCTGCCTGGCGCAATACCGTGCGCAGGCTGCGAGTCCCGCGGACCTCCTGTGCCCACTTTGCCGCCATGGACGCTGCCCCGATTGTGCGCCCATGGGCTCGTCGGGGGCAGCCGACGAGGAATTGCGGTTGCTGTGCCAGCGCCATGGCGTCTGCATGCCGGACCGGATTGCTGGGGAATCGACGGTGCGTGAAGAGGCTCGGGACTATGCCTTGAGCACATTCACTTCGAATGATGCACCGGAGCCCCGGCCCCCACCCGGGGTGACCCTCCTGTGCTGCAGTCGCCTTGCAGCTGTCAGCCGCCCTGGCGGGGTTGATTTCCTGCAGCTGCCTCATCGCGACATGCAGCTATCCGCCACGATGCGGGTGCATCATGGCGCCCTGGATGGGTATGCCCCGGCTATGCTCAGGAAGTGCGCCTGGACTCAATCCAGATCCCTGCGGAGGCTGGGGGTCCGTGCCAACGCTGCGGTGCCCAGTTGCAATGGGCGCTTGAACGTGTGGTCGGGAGGGCGACGTGGAGCTGCACCCCGGGCTGCCCTGGGCCCCAAGCGCCCAGCGATGCGCCAACAGGCCCTGGCAGCGCGTTGCAAGCTGGGCGGCCTGCCGATGGCACCACTTCCACCATTGCGCCTGTGCGGCCTCCAGGGCGCGACGTGTCCGCGCCAGCCAGTGGAAATGCAGCGCCTTTTTGGCTTTCGAGGGGCCCGCCCCAAGGTGACGTGCGGGACGGAACCAATTCCTGGCTGTACGTCCCACTGTTGCATGCCGCGGCGGCCGACCTCGCACCTGCGGCCTTGGCGCGTTGGCAGGCCGATCCTCGTACCGCCGACTGGTGGGAGCATGCGCGCCGGACGCTGACTGCCTCGGCCCCGGTCGCCGTGCACCTCCTGACCGCGGCCGTTTCGCATACAGTGGAGTTAGCGCCGGTGCATTTGCACCACCTGCCTGACCTCGTCGCGCGCATCGCGCATGCGGCGCCGCCAAATGGCGCCCTCGTACACATCGGGTGGGCTGTGCGTCAGCTTCGCGAGCCGGATGGCTATTTCTTGGCGCCGGTGCAGGAGGCCTTACTCCAATGCTTTGGGGGCCATGCTTTGGCGTCGGCCCTTGACCGCCAATCCGATTTCTTTCGACCAGAGGCCCCGCGCTCGCCATCTCCGACTACTGCTAATGCTGACCGCTGGGCCGAGCTCGAAGGCGTTTCGTCATCGACGGCGTCCATCAAGGGGGGCATCGCCGTCGCGAGCGGCGTGTGGGCGCTCGCGGCTTCGGCTCGAAACTCTAGGTGGATTCGGCTCGAAACTGTTGGCTTTGTCTCCAGAACGGCTCTAATACAGCTCAAGTGGAAATTCGGCTGCAAATTGTCGGTGCGTTGAAGGGGTTCGGCTCGAAACTTTGGGCTTTGTGCCCAAAATGGCCCAAAAGCAGCTCCCCAGTTGCTTCATGTGCTGCATCCACAAGTTTGCAAGGACGAACATATGCTTGTGCACAGCATCATGAAGCCGGGGAACGCAGCTCAAGTCTGTAGAACAAGACGCCTTTCGGCCGGAGGCCCAAGCGAACCTCAGGCCAATTTCAATTTGTTAGTGCGAGCACTGATGTCGGATTTGGCACCTCTCAGCCCCCAGAGAAATTTCCCTTGCCACGCCGTTGGCTCAATGTGCATCAAGCTGTAGGATGCAGCAAGTTCATGTGCGCATGGGGTAACCAACAATAACTTTGACATCTGCTTCCAACCTCATTGTCAAGTAAGATAATGCACAAACACATGGTGCGTTTACTTACTTGCATAAACACATACGTGCATACGAGCTAATTACTACCTGAATGAAGATGTTCGCAAGCTGCTCCATGCTGTGAGTGCGTTCCAGTTGATCCGGACAGCTGGGAGATTGCTCCGTACGCCGTTTGCAGACTGGGGTTGCTGTTGCGGGGGGTTGCTTTCGGTGTTTGGATCTTGGGTCGAGCCTTGACGTCAATTTCACATGGTCAAACCTTGAGCTTGAAGGGTCTGAGTCTAGAGATGCCCAGCGTTTTCCTGACATTGCCAAGCTGCCTTGCAGGTGCTTCATGGGATGTACGCACAGCGGCATCCCACGTCACCAGGCTCGCCAACATGCACACCGAAACGTCGACAGCTACTAGGAAAGGTGGCTTGTGGCGGTGGAAACCATGTGGGCAGTTCTCTCTAAATCCCCTAAATGTCAGGGATTGTCAGTGTCCATGTGTTCATAGGACCACAAACCCTAAACCCTAAACCCTAAACCCTAATCCCTAAACCCTAAACCCTAATCCCTAAACGCTAAACCCCAAATAAACCCTCAACCCCCAGCATCCCAAAAGTGCAGGCGAAGCGGAGCGATGTGCCAACAGATGAGCTGGCACAGCTGGTTCATTTCGGAAGCTGGATGCTAGAGGCTTGGGGGGGCATCGGGTTTAGGGTTTAGGGTTTTAGGGTTTTAGGGTTTTAGGGTTTCAGGGTTTAGGGCTGAGGGTTTAGGGTTTAGGGTTTAGGGCTTAGGGTTTAGGGTTTAGGGTTTAGACTTTAGGCTTTAGGGTTTTTGGTTCTGAAAGTTGTTTGTGCAATGTCCAGGAGGGTGCCAAGAAGGATCTGGTGTTTCTCTTGCTGCTGATCGCGGGTGCGCGACACTGGGCACGGCATAAAAAACTCGCAGAGCATGCCGCAGCGGGCACGCGCTCATAACTGCCTCGAGTTTCGGATGTGCTTAAGCCTGGATCCAAGGAGGCACGATGGGCTCTGCGTTGATGATCCGTTTTGCGAACGCTTTCCGCAAAGTTCGGGACGACTATGCGCTGAACCACACCGATCAAGCCCCTCCAGGACCACCAGTGTCTGTCACCATCTCTGAAACTTCTACTATGTGTTCTATCGTAGTAGAAAACAGCAATAGTTTACTGGGCAGAATCGCAGAATTCAAGAGCAATATAAAGGGTTTAGGGAATGTTTAGGGTTTAGAGTTTAGGGTTTAGGGTTTGGACTGTCGGGAAGTTGTCTCAAGTGCCGCGCAGGCGAAGTGGAGGCCATCGATCGCCAACGATTTGCCGCCCTCCAACAAATTGCTAGGTCTCAGCTGCAGCTTGGCCAAAGCCATCCAGTTTTAGGGTTTAGGGTTTAGGGTTTAGAGTTTAGGGTTTAGAGTGTTTAGGGTTTAGGGTTTGGGGTTTAGGGTTTGGGGGGTTTAGGGTACTTGGTTTCAGTGTTAGTAGTAAGCCACTTTCGTGCCGAGCCATCGACATGCCCACATGTTCAGACCGGCCCAGGAAGCGGCATTGGAAGCGATACCGGAAAGTCGGGGAGGAGAAGCGGCTTCGTCTCGCACCAAGAGTTGACCATGTTCCCTGGACCCGAAACCCTCAACCCTCAACCCTCAACCCTCAACCCTCAACCCTCAACCCTCAACCCTCAACCCTCAACCCTCAACCCTCAACCCTCAACCCTCAACCCTCAACCCTCAACCCTCAACCCTCAACCCTCAACCCTCAACCCTCAACCCTCAACCCTCAACCCTCAACCCTCAACCCTCAACCCTCAACCCTCAACCCTCAACCCTCAACCCTAAACCATCCTAAAACCTAAACCCTAAACCCTAAACCCTGAACCCTAAACCCTAAACCCTACTCCCCGATTTAGAAGGCGAATCTTCTGTGGGTGTTAGGCCGCGGTAAGCCCCTGAGCGATATTTTGGTCTCAGGCTGCTGCGATAGGGTGGCACCAAAAAGACACATGCTCTTGCTTGTGCCGCTGCGTGCCCATGGTGCGTTTAGATGTTGGGAGGTTTGGATGTTGGACCACCTTTTTGCCAAATCACGTAGCATGCAAAGCACAGGACATCAAGGAATGCTTCGAAAATATCCGTTTGGAACTTGCGACCGAGGAACTTCCGCAAGCTCCGAGTCGAGTTGCCCAAGAGCAAGCCATCCAGAGACTTCAAAATTATGCAGAAGATGAAATCCAGTGCAAGCGTGGTTGCGCCTTGGACGGGCACTCGTTTTTCAGCAAGCGGTGCAGCTCAGAACCCACCATAGGGAACCGCCATGCATCGCCATGCTGTTTTTGTTCATGATCTGTGTCTCATTCGCGCTTGCGGTGACCTGCTTGCATGTGCTGTGCATGAAGAAGTTGCTGCACTGCGCTGCAGGAAGGGATTCTTACGAGGGACGGCCGGACGATGTCAGACCTGGAGGCAGCCTTTCGACATGCCCAGAGACAGGACAAGCAGATGGAACTTGAAAGCCGAAACCCCGCTTGCGAGCCCAAAACTTGGGCGTTGCGTGCCAAGCTTTCTCGTCCCTCACCTCGAGCCTTCACCTGATGGGTCCCACCCTAAACCGGCAGTTCTCTCTTCACCACGCCCGCGTTTTGGGTATCTCAAGTCTTAGTCTTTAAGTTTGGGGGGTTTCCGGGTTGTGGAGCCCACATTGGGGAGACCCCCCTACCCTAAGCCCCCTAATCCCTATTCAACACCCCCCTCCCCTCCCCCATATACTAGAACATAACCAAAATGGGGGGGGGTATTCAATATTAGGGGTTAAGAGTGGGGGGGTGAATAATCGGGGAGGGGATGAAAAGCCCTAAGCTTCGCCCAAAGCCGACGCAGCACATCACGCTGGAGACGGAGAGCGTGGCGTGCAGCTTCGAGGAGGCGGCGAGTCCGGCGGAGAGAGTGGCGCCTGGGCCCGTTTAGGGTTTAGGGTTGAGGGTTTAGGGTTTAGGGCTAAGGGTTAAGAGCGGCGCCTGGGCCTGTTTTTCACATCTCTGTCTTTTTGAGTTTAGGGGTGCTTGCTGTTGAGGGCTTGGGATGTCCCTTTTAATACGAACAGCCCTTAATGGTGAGAATAATAGGGGTGCTCTAATCCTGTTATATGGGGAACATCCCAAGTTGTAGCTTGGAGTCCCTGCTTGGGTACCTCCGTGCACCTCAATAGACGGGCTTGTATCAGGGACATCGGAAGGGAAGAGGTAAGTATAGGGTTTAAAGCTTAGGACGTCTTCTAGGTGGTGGTTCTGCACCAAAACGATAAAGCTATTGGTTTCTACTAAGGAAGTTTACCTAAGTGACCATCGTTTGGATACATCACAAGTCTAGAGCAGGGTTTCCTTATTATGTGAACTCAACATCCTCAACAGCAACCCCGTCAAGCGCAAGACTCAAAAGTCCAGGTCACGTCGCTGCCCATCATCATCCAGGCGGGTGACGGGCCGAGTGCAGCCGCGATTTCAGACGGGGGTTGGCGATAATAAGGGACCCCTAATTTCGACCCCCAAACAGTAAGATCACCTTATAAACAAGGACCCCCAATAAGGTACCCTAATGTCGCAAACCCCAGATGTCGCAACGTCGGGGTGGGTGGAGGGTATTGGCGTCGCCCTCATGGTTAAGGCTTCACAGGGTTGACTTCAGGGGTTGGGGTTGAAGCAGGCGGTGCACCACATCGAGATTGCCATCGCCCCGCTCCTGTTGCTTGGAGAAATTCTTAGCCTTGGCTGAGGGCATCGGCGCCGGCACCTAGTGACCTAGTGGCGCTATCCCGAGCCTCAAACACTTCAGTGCTGGCCCCCCTCCCCCCCCCTGAGGTCGGCGGTCGAAGAGGTCTGCGGAAGCGAGCCCTTCCTGCAGCCTGGAGACGTGGAACGCTGTTCCTACGAGATTCCAGCGGGTGGCTGCGTGGCCTCGGCTCGCATATGTCGCAGCTTTGGGGAGGGCCCCACCTGTAAGGATGCCCTTAAGCCCATGTTGATGTTGCCTGCAAAGCATCATGTGTGCAAGTGTAGCGGAAGAAGCAGAGGGCAGCAGCCAAGCAGGCAAGCTAAACTCCCCTAAGCCCTGCAGAGAGCTTGGGCGGTCTTCGGCCTGAGGCCTTCTGCACAGAGAGCCCTGGAGCTGTTTGCCTGCCGTTTCAGGCCTTTGGAGCCTCCAAGCTGCAGCTACCAAAATAGGCTCCCTACACCCTAAACCATAAAACCCAGTAAGCCTCAACCCCTACAGTTAAACAAAGCTCAGAAGCCCTGGACGTGAATGGTGTTGGCTGAGGTCAGCTTGCTGCATGGCATGTGCCAGGGAAGAGCCGGCGTCACTCCGGCAGCCTGGCAACACCCCATCTGGGAGTTTGGGAGTTTTTCAGGCTTTGTGGGGCCTTCTGGCTTAGGGTGTAGGGCTTACTGTATAGGGCTTGGTGTTTGGGAGAAGGTTCAGGTGGAGACTTTCGAGCACAGCCTGCTGTGTGCACAAAGCCTCACGAATGCTCAGACCCTTCAGGAGTCCCTTGAGTCCTCAGAGGGTGGTGGGGGTCCCAGTACAGCCTGGAGGCACGGTGGTGGCAATGGCCATTCAAGGGCAGGTGTCTTTCTTCATTTGTTTCTTTCCTTCCTTCATCGTTTTCCTTCTTTCTTCATTTCCTTTTGTTTTTTTGCTTACTTTCTTTCTTGCTTTCTTGCTTTCTTTCTTTGCTTGCATTTTTTTTTTCTTTCTCTCTCTCTCTCTCCCTCTTTCTCTCGCGTTCTTTCTTTTTCCATTCTCTCAGCATAAGGACATACTTGAAACCTTGCAATGCAACTAGCCCTCACACCACCCCACGCCTCCCCAACTCCTTTGAAGCTCAGGACGTCTTGCTGGAAGAGTTGGGAGATCCAGCGCAGCCAATCAGAGTACTGAGCTGCTCCCTCCGCACTTGTGGGTGCCGGTGGCCCTCAGTGATCTAAGCTCCACTTCCAACCCTCCCCCCCACCCCCCCCCTCCCCCCAATAATAAAACAATCCCAAGATTGACCGGAATCCTTCAACTTGCAAACTCAAAAAGCCGACCCTGGCTGTAGCTGACCCGGTCTTAAGCAGCTTTGAGCATGTGTGGGACGTTGGGTTAGTAGGGTGCTGCATGCATGATTTCGCTTCAAGAGCCCTAACACGAGCGACATGCGCAAGTCTCAGTCGCTTGTCTTGACCAGGCACGAACAGCAAGCACCTCGGTGGCATTAAGGGGTGTGGGTGTGTGTGTGTGTGTGTGTGTGTGTGTGTGTGTTTTGCGGTGAGGGTTTAGGATTTAGGGTTTAGGGTTTAGGGTTTAGGGTTTAGGGTAAAGCCCTTCCCTCCCCAAACCTTGGCGACGACGAGCAACCAAAGAAACCTGAAAGCACTCGCGCCTGCTTGCTGAGGTCTGGTGAGATGTTCTTTATCTCCCAGTCCGGGAAGTTCATCATCAAGCGCCTCGGAGAATCATTGGCGATCCCAAGTCAAGAAGCTTCCCAGGCCTTCGCCCCCAGCGAAGCCAGAAGATTTGAAAACCTTACCTCCTAAGTCCTAGTCCGAGCCTTTGTCTCTGTCTAGAAGTGAAAGCCTCAATGTCTAAACCCTAAACCGCACCCAGATTGTCGATGCTCATTCCCTAGCCCTGCAAAGGAGTATCTCCGATGCCGAGGGCAAAGGCTTAGAGGCAATTCTTCCGAGTGTCTTGGTGGAGAGAGTTCCGACGCTTGCACCCCTATAGTTTTTTGGTTCAACATGGGTAGGGGTCCCCTTGTTTTCTTTTGGGGGGGGGGGGGGTCCTATCGTCCGCATAGATTTGCTTATAGGCGATCTTCTTGAACTTGGGAGCCTCCGTCCTGTTTTGAGGCTCCTGGCCTTCTAACAAACTGTATCGGTGCCTGCCCAGGCTACGTCAGCCACCTCGCTGGCGAAGAAGGGTCCATTTTGGGGCTGTACGTCGGCCTCTATCGGATTGCGCCTTGCCCCCATTCCTGGTCGTACTCCCAAACCTCCGAAGCCGTACCAAAATTCGGGCACACCTCCAGATACTCCCCCTAAACCAGGGGCTACCCCTCCCCCCCCGCCCCAAAAAAAAAGGGCCACCCCCTAAAAGAGGGCTACCCCCACCCCCCCAAAAAAAGGGCCACCCCACCCAAAAAACCCCTCTTTTTAAAGTAAATATCCCCGCTCCAGGACATGGGCTCCGGGTTGGGGCAGCGCTACTTCACCATCATGAGGTCCGTGTTCGACTCGCCCGTGCAGCAGCTCGGTTCCTATTTGGGGGTTGACGAAAGTAGTGGGGACCCCTAAGAAAACTCCCCAAATGCTAGGATTCCCTTATCCTAAGGGCCCCAAGAAGGTGCCACCTCATGTCGGAAGCCCTCCATAATGTAAGTTCCTAGAGGGCTATGGTGTTTTTTTGGGTGCCCGAAATATTGTAGCGGCCCTCAAAATAGTAACCCTATGTTGGAGAAGTGGCCATACGGTAATTTCTTAAAGTTATGGTCCCTTTTTGGGTGCCCTGATATACCGGGCCGCCGTTTCATAGTGACCCCAAAAGAAGCCATAATTTGGAGAGGTGACCTGAGGTGGACCATATGGGCATTACAAAGAACGCCCTTCACAAGTTTAGGGTTTAGGGTTTAGGGTTTAGGGTTTAGGGTTTAACTCCCTGATACCAACCAAGAAGCCCAGCCTTCCTGCCCTTGCGACCTTCTCTCGGAAGGGCTAAGTTGGGATTTTGATCTAATCGCCCTCAATAGGGATTAGAGTACCACCCCCTCGATTATAGTCCCTATTAAGGACAGTTAGTATAAGGGGGGAACCCTAAACCCTAAACCCTAAACCCTGAACCCTAAACCCTAAACCCTAAACCCTAAACCCTGAGCCCTAAACCCTAAACCCTAAACCCTAAACCCTGAACCCTGAACCCTGAAACTTGACCCCCTAACCCTGCCCACGAGCTGAGGATGAGCAAGATGTACGACCTCAAGGGATCTACGCACCACCGGAGGGTGAAGGAGGGGTATCGTCCCCGCAAAATCGGTCAGTGCCAGGGTGCCTTCTTGAGCCCGAGCTGCGATTTCCTAAACCCTAAACCCTAAACCCTAAACCCTAAACCCTAAACCCTAAACCCTAAACCCTAAACCCTAAACCCTAAACCCTAAACCCTCATCCCTCAACCTTAAGCCCTAAACCCGAAAAACTAAACCCTAAACCTTAAACCCTGAACCCTAAACAGCGCCGAGCCGAGCAAACCTAAACCCTCAGCCCCTGAGCCCCTGAACCCTAAGCCTTAAACTCCAAAAAACCCTAAACCCTAAACCCTAAACCCTAAACCCTAAACCCTAAACCCTAAACCCTAAACCCTAAACCCTAAACCCTAAACCCTAAACCCTCAACCCTAAACCCTAAACCCTAAACCCCGAAACTAAGAAAGCCCGGCTAAAACCCCAACTGCGCCCGGAGGATGACTCCGAGAAAGTTCGCAAAGATGAGGAGTCAAGGGTTTAGGGTTTAGGGTTTAGGGTTTAGGGTTTAGGGTTAGTCTCGGAGTAGATATCGGCCCAGCTCAGGGTTGAGGGTTTAGGGTTTGCAGAAAGACCCCGGGCGAAGTGGAAAGCCTGTTGCAAAAGGGTTTGCAGAAAGTTTGTGGAAGGCCTTTCCAGCTGACTTCAGGACCGTAAGGGATGATCTAGAGTTGCTAAACCAAACCAGTAAGAAAGTATTCCACGCCTACCCCCTTCTTATTGCTTCAGTTCATAGTTCCTGTGCCTAGCTTCATGGATGGAAAGACGCCTGCCCGATCCCTGAAGCCCAAAGTCGAAACTTCCCAAGAACTTGAGGACCCCCCCCCCCCCCTCAAACCCTTTCAAGAGAAAGGCCTTGCCTGGCCTGTGCGAGTGCGAAAGTCGATGCCCGAAACCCTCGAACCCTATAGCCTGTCAGCCTCGGTGACCGTTGCGGTGAGAATGCATGAGGGCAACCGGGTTTGACTTGAAAGGGTGCGCGGGTGGTGGCAGGCGAAGTTGCTGACCTGTGGCATGCGTTGGATGTCATGCTGTTGCGAGTACCCGATGTTTGGATACACGCCCATGTGTTGTGGCCAGGCCAAGAAGATTTCTTGACGGGCGCCCTCGTTGTTTGTTACGCCTGTGGAAGCAGAAATCTGTCATCGAAGTTTTTGTCATTTCTTTTGGATGTCCCTGTCTGATGTCGCCCTCTAATTTTCGCGCTGTTGGCGAGGTGGTCCCGATGATGTGCTGGTTCACGCTGCAGGCCCTAAACCAAACCCGGAGCCTTCAAGCTCCAAAGAGCTGGAGGACTGGATCTCGGACAAGTGTCGCCTGGATGTGTCGCCCGAGGATGCCGCCAGCCTGGAGCCTGAGCTTGACGAGGTGTGAGTGTCGGGGTGCTCGCGTTGAGGGCTAGAATTGTGGGTGCTTGGTATCTATCTGGCCTCCAAGATATTTCTTGGGGGCTTGCAACTCGCAGCCGAGGAGAAGATGCACGGGAGAGACACCGTTGCTGGACTTTGATACGCTCTGATAGACTCAGGGCCTGCAATGCCTCAGTGCAAGATTGACGCTGCAACCCACTTAGCTGACCCTAAGTCGGTTTTTTTCCCAAAATAGGGGTACTTTTTTGTTCCCTTTAATAGAAGAGAATCCCCTTAAAGGACCCCCAAAGAGGGGTACCCCCAAAATTGTCGAAAACCCCAAGTGCAGACTCAAAGCCCTCTGCTGCCTTACACCAGCTGCCACCGAGGCTTTCCTCAGTGCGAAGCTGAGTATCTGGCTCTCAGAACCAGAGTTCCAGTCCTTGGAGCGGCGTAGCCACGATCGTGAGAGGGATGCCGACCTGAGTGGCGCAAACAGTCGTTACCCATTTGTTAAGGCTTCTGCAACATTTCAGTTACGAAAATACGAAGAGGCGAATTCTCCATCATCGACTTCTCTGTGCTTATTGGCATCGCTGAAATCCACGTGGCCTGTGCTGCAACCACTACCGTGTCTCCAAGGGACGTGGGTTTTTGTTTAGGATGTAGGGTTTCAGGGTTTCAGGGCTCGAGGGGTTGCATCTATGAAGGCAACTGCGCCCCGAATGATCGGACTCTCCCTAGACACCCTCGGCCCTTAAACCCTGGACCCTTACCCTCAATCCTACACCCTGAACTTTGGCCCGAATTCTGAAACCCTAAACCCTAAACCCTAAACTCCCTGCAATGTGGGTGTACAGTTCAGCTGGGCGGGCGGCAAAAGAAACCCTAAACGCTTAACCCCTCCCCCTCCCTCCTCAAACAAAACAAGATGAAAGCTCTGACCTGAGGGGCGGTTTTGGGAAACAGGTCTTTGTGGGACGACGCGGGCGCCTAGACATGGTTCTGGGGAACATAGAAGAATAACTTGTTTCGGGTTAGGCTTTGGGAAGTCTTGCCATTATAGGAGCAGAATCTAACCCTGTTCTGGTACTTGCCAATCTAGGGTTTGGGCCATGCGTTCTGCAATCACCACCAGACATAAAATGAGGTTGCCACCATGAATCCCCTTATGATCCGTATTCAACTATCATCGGCTAATCGGCACCTCATAGCCCATGGCCCAGAATACGCATGTTTCATGTCGTAGGCCATCATAGGCCCCTCAGTCGTTGTTTGTTTAGTATTTTTTTGGTTTGATTTTTCCGTGGCCTTCCTAAACCCTAAACCCTACTGTAAACCCTAAACCCGAAACCCTAAACTCTAAACCCTAAACCCTAAACCCTGAACCCTAAACCCTAAACCCGAAACCCTAAACCCGAAACCCGAAACCCGAAACCCTAAACCCTAAACCCTAAACCCTAAGCCCTAAACCCTAAACCCTAAACCCTTCATTCCCTCTTTGCAGCCCCTGGCATCCCAAGCCCCCGAATCCTAGCACGTCATAGACGGGAGTTCCCCCTGATGCTAACAGTCCTAGGTAGGAGAAGGGGGAGCCTTAGAAGGGGACCCTTCTTAACCCTCTTCTGGCTCTCGTAAACAGGGACCTTATTCAAAGGGTCTATATCCCCAAGGGTCCCCAAAATCCTATCCTCTAAACAGTCCTTCATAGAGACGACTCGACGACGTTAGGGGGTACTAGAATCCCTATTAAGCACTGTTAGTACAAGGGGGAACATCCCAAGTCATACTGTTTGCTCTGAGGAGCCGAGTGAGATTCCTCCCCATGCTTGGCAGAGTGTGGACAAGACGCAGTGTTCCTTGCCCCGCGGAAGAGTGCGCTGTCAGGTCGTTGAGGTGGAAGTCTGGGCCTTCAACTTAAACCCCCGCTTTGGAGAGTTTAGGTTGGGATCTTCCCCCCCCCATACTCACAGTCCTTGCTGGGATTATATCATGAGGGGGTACTATAATCCCTATAAGGGGTACTATAATCCCTATAAGTGGGAGAGCTTTAGGCTTTCTTTGGCTGTTTTTTTTTGTAAATGTTTTGTGCCACGGAGTGCTGTCCCCCGAGTCGCAAGCAAGGCTACTTCATCGGCATCGTCGATGTGCTGCTTCTGGGATGCTTTATAAGCTGCCCTGTGTGGTCAGTCTTGCGGCCCTTGCGCTTCCGTGCTGGCTGTAGGGTTTAGGGTTTAGGGTTTAGGGTTTAGGGTTTAGGGTTTAGGGTTTAGGGTTTAGGGTTTAGGGTTTAGGGTTTAGGGTTAAAAGGGAGAGGCAGAGGGAGAGGCAGAGGGAGAGGCAGAGGGAGAGAGAGAGAGAGAGAAACCCCCAAAGCTGGAGCAAGCTGGACGTGATGAGGTCTTGTTGGCTACCCCGTAAACAGAAGCGCAAAATCCCCGTATGACAGCCAATTCCTATCGCCTGAACCTGAAATCTTTGTTCCCTCCCCAAAGCCACCCAAAATCCCCCTTGGACAGCCAAGGATTGAGTACGGGCTGCGGAAGCGCCTAGAGCATCTGCTGCACACTGTGAAAGGCGTTGGGCAGACGGCGCCTGGCCTGTAGTTTTCTAAAGGGGGGCGGGGTGGGTGTCGGGGTTTTGGAGTCTTGAGGGAACCTTACAAGTCTGACAGTGGATGAGGGATCGCCAACCGTCACACGCCTCGACCTCGGTATTCTCCAAAGGGTGTCCCGTGCCTGAAAGAAAGGGTTTGTGCATACGGAACCTGGACCTCTCTGATGCTTCCTGCGCGTCACGCAGGCAAGCGTCACCGACCCGAATAGCTACGCCAAGCGGCAGCGGCGATTCTTCCGCGAGCACGTGCTTCCTGAGTGTGAGGGCCTGCTCGACCGGCGCCTCGGACGATCTTGAGCAAGGCCCTAAGGCCCTACAAAGGCCCTGAAGGCTCTGAAGCCGTAGACTCGAAGCCTTATGAGGGCCCCAGGCAATCACTTTCTTCACATGTTCAGTCTTTAGTCAGAGTTTCTTCACATGTTGCACTCTTCAGTCAGAGTTTCGAAATTCGGATGTTCAGGGTCTTGGGGTTCAGAGGGGTGTGAGGTTTGTGGGACTTAGGGTTCAGGGCCATGCGTCCTACCCTGGCGCTCGCCCCAAAGGTCAGAGACAGTGCACGGCCTTCGGCAACAGGTGGGCTTCAGCGAGTTTCGTCTGCCTGAAGCAATGCTTGAGAGTAAAAAGGGCTTGGGAAAGCGTCTTCGGCGCTTGTGCGCATTCCAAATCGCCAATGACAACCCTCGGTTCTTGCCCTGCGCTCTGGAGAAGGTGCGCGCGTCGGACGGCATCACAACCGTCACAAATGGCAATTGCGCGTGCGCCGCGGCAGGGTCTTCTCAGCTTGCGCCACTCCGCGTCGCGAAAACGTCGCAGGGGTGCACTTTCTGTCCTTTTCGCTATCTTGAACAGGTTCGCTGCATGCCCTGCCAAAGGGGTTTTGGGCCTTTGGCTTACTCTAGCGTGCTCGCGGACTCCGGGTCTGCATTTCTATATGCCCCTGCAGTGGTCTACGTCGGCCGAGACTCACATTGAAAAAAAACCAGCTTTAGAGGAACCCTCAAGGACCACCGAAACAGGGACCTCGAATTTTGGACACCCTCCCCCCAAAAAAGCTGGTGCTTCCCTAAACCCCAGACTGGCACATTGCCAGCATCTCGGACCCAGCCCGAAGCGCTGGTCCACCTCGGTTGAGGGTTCGGCTTCGGGGTCTTGGGGGCAAAGGGCTGAGGTTCGCCCCCCGATTTTCCGGGCGGGTTTCCTAACAGGCTCAGAAAGTACTTCGTCTCCCAAAGTCTCAAGGAAAACTCGACTTGCAACTCGTTTGGCCCTCATCCAGGAAAAGCCCGACCCTAGACCTTCCTACATCCTCCTTGGGAATTACTTTTTGTTTTTTTATATAACACCCAAGAGGAGGTAAAAATATGGGTTTTATTAAGGTTCCAAGGGGGAGCATAGCTTCCGGGTTTTGGTCCATCTGGAGAGTTTGGGTGTTGGGGCCTGGAGAGGGGGGCCCCCTCCTTCCCACAAGCAGCCTTCAAGCCCCAACACCCCCAAGACCAGGGTCCCAAAAAGCCATGGCAGTGGGTGGCAAAAACAAGAACCCCTGGAAGCCCTGAGACATCCTGAGACTTCAAGGCGCCTCTCAAAGCCTCCTGCCCCTGGCCAGGGCAGTCCACACTACACTCACGCGGACGGCACGCAGTCTGCTGCGGCCCCCGAGCTGGCAAAGGTAGCGATGTCACCGGAATTCTTGGGCAAGACCGTGGATTTTTAGGCTTTCCAGGCATTTGGTCCTACATGGGCCTGGGTCATCTGCAGCATTCCGAGTTTCACCGAGCAGGCTGATGTCTGCAAACTCTTCCAGCTTTCAAACGGCTGTCGGGCCGTACGGGTCTCTTGACAGCTTCCTGCGTCCGGATGCGGCCCATCTGACACAGCTCCATGCTCCCAAACATCTCGAGTTTGTGAAGCTCTTCATTGGATTCTTGGGGGCCTGGAGCTGTGGGGCCGCGGCCACATGCGGCCACCCCAGCTTTTTCAACATGAGCTATGGTCAACAGTCAACAGTTCCAGGAAGTCGCAAAGAAGACAAGGATCTCTTGTTGCACCCGTTCTCCTCCTGCGAACCGCGGCGGCTAAGGCGCACGCCGTGTTTCATGCCGCCCGCAGATGGTCTTAACTTGTACTTGTCACGTTCTGGCTGCTCTGGCTTTTCATGTGTCTCGTGTGGACCGTCTGTTGTTGCTTGAACCTGGGGCGACCATTGGGGAGGAAATTAGGCTAGACGTTCTGTGGCTCTCGCCATGCAGTGGCCCTTGGCCACTGGGACAGCTCTTGCTTGCATGGCGTACTTTGATTTGCTTGAGGTACTGTTTAACAGTCCCATACAGGTATACTCTGCCCAAGGTCCACTTGGCCTGTTTGTCAACATAGGGTTCAGATGCTTCAGGCTTTCAGGTTGCATACGCCTGAGTCCAAGACCCTCAACTCCCTAAGCTCCCCAATTCCCCAATCTCATCATCTCCGTTTTGCCAACGGTGGACCTTTGTGCGGAACACAATTCATGAGCCACAAAGCCACAAAGGATGGTCTTTTGGAGTCGCTGTGCACACAAGTTTGCGCTCCATGAAACGGTATCCCTGTAGGCTTTCATCCTTTTCTTTCCCTAGAACTTCGAGGCGGAATTCTGACCATCAACACTGTTCTATGTCAAGCCAGCAAGGGCATCTGAAAGCTATGAACCCCGAGCACCCCCCCCCCCCCCCGAGCAGGGCCCCTGAGACCTCTAAACTCCAGCAGAGCGAGTGGATCAGAAGCATCTCATATCCCTTTTGCAAGATGTTGTCAGGACTGCCCGGTCGGGTTTTGGGTTTAGGGTTTAGGGTTTAGGGTTTAGGGTTTAGGGTTTAGGGTTTAGGGTTTAGGGACTTGGGTTGTTGGTTGGGGTCATTTCGAGAGGGGATTGCTTCTCCTTGCTCTCGCTGCGGCTCTCTGGGCTGTCCTTCCTTTCGCCAGCAAGCCCGGGCAACGTCGGGGGCCCCGAGGGGGGGGGGGGGGAGTCCGAGGGACTGGAAAGGGTTTCGGAGGCGTAAGGTAACCGAAGGGCTTGGGCTTTCGAATCTTCGGCTGTTCGTTGGGTTCATGGTTGTCATCGAGGCGTTCTTCCTAGGTCCTAGTGCCCTGAGTCGCCACCTTGCCCTGAAGTCTGACAGCAAAGGCCTGCCTCCCGAACTTGAGCTAACTCTCATGTCTGCGGACAGAACAGGGAGCCCAAGGCCAACTAACCTGCTTCCTGCTGCTTTCAGCTCTTCAGACATTTCGGGCAAACACATCAATGTACAGCACCGTCGCATCACTGAGGACCAAAACCAACACGACTTGCTAGGATGCAGGGTGGATGCAGCCTCTTAGGCACATAGGCACGTGATAATGCTTAGTCGACCGGGTGCCTTTAAGGCAATCCCCACGTCTTCAAAGTGAGACCTGACTTCTTGAGGCCCTGCCCAGCACCATGCCGCGGCGTGCAGAGGCTGCCACGAAGAAAGGCAGCCAGGCTGCAAAAGGCTACGGCTACGCTGGGGGAGGGTCCCGGCGAGCCGGCTGAGAAGAAGAAGAAGAAGAAGAAGGAGGAGGAGAAGGAGGAGAAGAAGAAGAGGAGGAGAGAAGGAACAGGGGGAGAGCTTTCTGAGCCTGAGGCCAACGGCGGCCGGTGAAGAAGCACAGACTCTCGTCGCTTACGGCACCGGGTTGCCTCTAATGCCCAACAATGCATTCTACCCCTCCCCCCATCAGTAATTCCCCTGGACCCCGAGAACACTAAACACAGAAGATGCACAACCCCAAACGCATATTACCTATCGCATCCGCTGCTGTTGCTGACTTTGCCCTAAAAACCCTAAGCCCTAAAGCAGGCTTGGGGGTCCTGTTTCGCCCGGACTGGTGAGTCGCCCATGCATGCTAGTGTGAGAGTCGCACACCTAAAATCCCTGAGCCCCAAATCCCTAGGCCCCTGAGCCCTGAAAGCCCACAAAAGTCTTAAACCATAGGCCCTCACCCCCAAACACCCAACAGACTTGAGTTCCAAGTATGGGCCCTTAATGTGGGTCCCTTGTCCCTTGCATTATCCCTGATACACACCATATGGGTAGTTCTCTGCATTGGGGTCCCTTTTTCTGGGATCCCTTCTGAACGGGTGCCGCCTTCTAATGGGTGCCCAAAAAGGCACCCTCGAAAAAGAGAACTACCCATATTTAAACCCTAAACCCTAAACCCTAAACCCTAAACCCTAAACCCTAAACCCTAAACCCTAAACCCTAAACCCTAAACCCTAAACCCTAAACCCTAAACCCTAAACCCTAAACCCTAAACCCTAAACCCTAAACCCTAAACCCTCTCTTACTATGTATATTTAAACCCTAATGACCTTCGTCGGCATATTGTTTTTTTTCTGGGCCCTAAACCCTGACCCCCTTCGTCGGCATATTGTTTTTTTCCACCCGGGGCCCCCCCAAAACACCCCAAATGAGGGGGACCCCAGGATCGGCCCCGGCCCCAGTTCAAAATGCGATTTTTTAGTATTGAAATCGACGGTTCTGGGTGGCCTCCTGTTTTCTGGATTTTTACCCTGACCCCCTTCGTCGGCATATTGTTTTTTTCCCCCCTGGTGGGCCCTAAACCCTGACCCCCTTCGTCGGCATATTGTTTTTTCCCCCCTGGTGGGCCCTAAACCCTGACCCCCTTCGTCGGCATATTGTTTTTTTTTCCCCCCTGGGGCCCTAAACCCTGACCCCCTTCGTCGGCATATTGTTTTTTTCCCCCTGGGTGGGCCCTAAACCCTGACCCCCTTCGTCGGCATATTGTTTTTTTCCCGCCTGGTGGGCCCTAAACCCTGGCCCCCTTCGTCGGCATATTGTTTTTTTCCCCGTGGTGGCCCTAAACCCTGACGCCCTTCGTCGGCATATTGTTTTTTTTCCCCCTGGTGGACCCTAAACCCTGACCCCCTTCGTCGGCATATTGTTTTTTTCCCCCCCTGGTGGGCCCTAAACCCTGACGCCCTTCGTCGGCATATTGTTTTTTTTGCCCCCCTGGTCAGCCCTAAACCCTGACCCCCTTCGTCGGCATATTGTTTTTTCCCGCCTGGTGCGCCCTAAACCCTGACCCCCTTCGTCGGCATATTGTTTTTTTCACCCCTGGTGGCCCTAAACCCTGACGCCCTTCGTCGGCATATTGTTTTTTTATTGTTTTTTTTCTTCTCCCACCCCCCCCACCCCCCCCCACCCCCCCCACCACCCCCACCCCCCCACCCCCACACCCCCCCACCCCCCCCCCCCCCCCACCCCCCCCACCCCCCCACCCCCCCACCCCCCCCCACCCCCCCCACCCCCCCCACCCCCCCCACCCCCCCCACCCCCCCCACCCCCCCCACCCCCCCCCCCCCCCCCCCCCCCCACCCCCCCCACCCCCCCCACCCCCCCCCACCCCCCCCCACCCCCCCCCCCCCCCCCACCCCCACCCCCCCCCCCCACCACCCCCCCCCCCCCCCCCCCCCCCACCCACCCTCACCCCCCCCCGACCCCCCCCCCCTTCCCCCCCCCCCCCAACCCCCCACCCCCCCTTCCCGCGATTTTGGGCCAACTGGACCCCCCAATCCATCACGTGAGGAAGTTTGAGAGTTAGATTTCGGGTTTTGGGCCAACTGGACCTTGAGCTTTAAGCCTACTGGGAATGTATTGAGTGAACTTTGTATTTTCTCAATGTTATGGGTTTCTTGGGTGGGTGGGTTTTTATTCCAACGCTTGACAAGCTGCTTGACTAGTGAATGCTCGAACTTGAGATGCTGAACCCTAAACCCTAAACCCTAAACCCTAAACCCTAAACCCCAAACCGCGCCTCGTAGTCGCCCTGCGATGTGGATTCGCCCCAGCTGTGCAGGAGTGAAAAAAAACCCTAAACCTTAAACCCTAAACCCTAAACCCTAAACCCTAAACCCTAAACCCTACACCCTAAACCCTCTCGTGTGGGCAGGAAGCTCCACAGCGGGGTTACGCAGGGTTCTCTTTTCCACCAAGCAGGAACAACACAACAAACAACATCTGAGTTCTTGTCCTATGACATCTTCAGTAGTACTGTACACTATACATGTGGACTTCTCTCGTTGTATGCTATACATGTTGACTACTATCGAAAAAATAAGTCCTGCAGGTGGCAAGGGCTCCTGTGCTGTAGACCTTGAACCCATGCCACAAACCAGCTGCTGAGTCATCCGCGCTCCCCCTTGGTGACACGTCACCAACTGTACTATGGGAGGCAAACGAGCTTCATCACCATAACGACAAAGAGGGCTCTCACTGGATCCTGCGGCCTGGGATGCTTTCCCGGCAGGCTCAAGCGTAGCCTCTTAGAAGCAAAATGCTTCGTTGACGAAATGGGCTTCGAATGCTCCACTCCGGCCTGGAGTGTTTCCCCGGCATGGATGAAGCAAGAACTCATCTACCCTGTTGGGTAAAGGCGTCGCACATCGACCTCAAGTTCAGTGCGACCACGCCACTCGTGTTCATGGTACCGGCGAGCAGCTTCTGGGCTTCGCCAGTTATCATCATAATACTGTCGCTCACCAGCTGCATATATGGCTAGCGTCCTCCTGCGGCCTGTGAGTGCTCCCAGAGGAACGGGCAACCTGGTCTGCGCTGGGTCGAAGCGACGAACTCTCACGACAGCGTGCCAGCGTACTAAGACAGTTGGCCTCTCTGCATCGTACTGAAAGAAGTCCTGTCGACACTCTGGCGGCGGTGCCTGAAAAAGTGTGGATAGATCTCCACCCCATGATGTCCTCGTCAGCCGCATTTCCCTCATAGTTGGCTGCAGCGTGGGGGCGGGCCAGCCGACCCTGAGGATATAGGGCGGATCAGGTGGATGATTGAGCCGTGGGGGCCTTGCTTGGAAGGGGCCTCTAGGCTGGGCGATTGTGTCTCCGTGAACAGGCTCAGGCGGGTTCGCTGGCGCGTCTGCTGGGCCTGGCATAAACACCTGAACCTCATCATCAGCAAAGGCAAATGTGATAGGGCGGCCTTGAGGCTCTACATCAGGCTCCTGCTGCGCTACAGGTCTTGGGGGCCTTCGCCTCAGGCCTTCTTCAGGGGTCATTGCGGGAACGGGATCCCTAACACGAGCAACGGGGGCCTCATCAGGATCTGGGCCTTCATACTCATCTTCGGGCTGTTCAGGTATGAAAAGCTCTTCAGGTTCTGGGGCTGGGAGTCTCGGCCTGAGGAGTTCCTCGGCAAGACGAAACACTGCCCTCAAACAAGCCTTACATGTTTCCCAAACTGCAATGGACGTGATTGAGATTAGCACAGCAAACACTACAAGAGACCAGTCTTCACTCTGGGTCCTGTCCTGGTCCTTAGTGGCTCTGGCGTTGCACAAGCAACAGGCCAAAATGACTGCCCTTAGGCAATCCTTCACGTGCTGAACGGATTTTGCCTTAGTGGTTTCGGCAGGCGGATCCTGCGCGGACATTCCCAGCACTGCCATCAACGTCTTGATCCTCTGCGGGCCAAGTGCCTGAGTCCCTATATCAGCACCATTCTTGTCTCCACCTACATGCACGAAAACGAGCAATTTCATGTCGGACCTCTCTTTCAGGACTCTAGCCCTAATTTTTAGGTGACGGGTTCTCCAAGAAACGGTGGGGCTGTTGATCACTGTGATAGCACTCAGGTTGTCGTTTGCCACAAACACCCTTGGTTCATGCTGCCACAGTTCACGAGCAAGTCCTACATGTGCAACTGCATAGTTACTGCCAGTAGTAGTGGAGAGAAGTTCTGCTTCACATGAAGACTGCGTGCAAAACGGCTGCCTTGTGCTGACCCAACCAACAGTAGACCCTTCACAGCGAAGCACGGTGCACTCATGAGATCTATCACCTCCTGGCGCGTGCGACGCATCTGTGTATGCCTGCAGCACGTGCATGTAGTCTTGCGTTCCTACAAGGTTGTACTCATCTCTGTCCTTAGGGCCTGCGAAAACAAGACCTACCGACGGCGTTACAGACAAGTAACCTAGAACCTGCAGGGCCTGCCTAAACGTGAACTCAGGGTCCTTTGTGCTCCACTGAGCAAGCTTGGAAACGGCGTAGCAAAGGTCAACCCTAGTACGAATCGACAACCACAGCAGTTCACCTACAACTTGTTGGCACTTCCTAATGCTTTCGGCGTTGGGGTTAGGGACGGCAACAGGGTCCTCCAGTCCTTGCGGAAGAGGCTGCACAGAAGCGACAAACTCGTTGGTGTACCTACTCAGCAAGTCCTTTGCGTAAGCGGTTTGAGTTACAACCAACCTGCCCTCCTTTGACCAGTACAGCTCTAAGCCTAAAAAGCGAACTGGATTCGACGGGTCACTTCCAACCTTCTCTGGGTCAGAACACGCCCACTTTTCACAAACTGCCCTAATGACCCCCTCGCCTAAATCCTCTATACCTGACCCAAGAATATCGTCAACGTAGACAGCGATCCACCCGAGCACTTCCTGGGACTGCGCAGGCACAGGAAAGTCTGGGTCCTGAACGAGAACTGTCTCAACGTCAACAACAAACCAAACGCACTCGTCAGCAAGAGACTGCACTAGCTTCAAAAGCTTGCTTTTCCAGGGAATTTTCAGGGTACGAAGTTCAGCGTCTCTAGTGAAACCCCAGTCTCTTGGACTTTGGTCAAGACCGTAAACTGCCTTTTTCACTATGAGGAAAGTACCTACAGGCACGACTCCTTTGGACAC